AAAATTCAAGATCGTCAAATACAACACAGTGAGTGCGAATGAAATCATGCTTGATGGAGAAGCACCGGAATACGTGGAAACTTTCTCATATTTGGGAGGCATCATTGATAAACAAAGGGGTTCTGATATCAAGTCAAAATTTTCAGCACGAACGTCAAGACAGTTCTGATGTACAGAGATCTACTACAATCATCATCAAGAAGTACATGTATTTATGGGCCAGCTTCGAGCTGAAGAGGAAATTAGAAAAAGACATATATTAAGGAAACCATCAAACTATATCGCAAGGCAAGCCCTATCTTGGAATCGTTACGGGAAAAGCAAAAAAGATAGACCAAAGAACACATTGCGTTGAGAATTATAATCAGACATGAAAGGATGAATAGTAGCTGGAAAGAACTGGAAACGATTACCTAGGAAAGAGTTTGTTAGTATCCTTGTAGTCTGCATTTACTCCTCCTTTAGAGGTAACATGAGTAAGTTCCTGTTAGATATATAACCATAGTTTAAACACTCATTTCAATACTGTTTACTCGTTAAATATAAGTCAAGGGTTATTTTGGTAGATTAACTACTAGGAAATAATTTCACATTTGAGTTCCTAACTGACATTTATTGCATAGTTTGTGTTATAGTTAACAATAGATTTTACTTATGGTAAAGTTTTATTCCCTGATCTGAATGGTTTAATCGCGGAGAACTGATTGTTCTTTCAAACAATATCAACACAGATTTCAAGTAGATAGAATGTATTCGAATTTCTCAACAAATGACCAGTAATTTTTTAAGTTGAGCCTTATCTTGACTAGTTATTGTTGACCTTCAACTTATCGTTTTCTGCATATTGTTTTATATCGTTTTTTTCTCTTCATCTTCTTGAATATCAAGTAGCTGTTAGACACATGGTTGCATGTTCTAGTCATTCAAGCACTTCCAATTTCATATGAAAATAATGTAATGAACAATGATTAGTAAGTTTATAGTTAGTTACTCAGTCAATTAGCATGTAGTGATTTGAAGATAGGTTTCATCATTAACTGTAGCGAATCATTTCAAACCAGGTACCGACTAGTGTCGATCCATGATAAAAATCATTTTTAGGTTAACTAATCTCCATTACCCAAAAAATTAAACTAAATTTCAAAATATGTGCATTTTCGTTAGTGGTTGAGTCTAAGACGTACGTTTTGTCTTGTTTGAGACTCTTCATTTGAATGTACCCACAAACCTGTCATCTACCTCATTGTTGATACTGACGATTTAATTTTGGTTAGTTTTGCTAAGTTTCAACCAGTAAACATGTCACAAATAAAACGTGATCCGTTTTCTAGATTTAGTCAATAATACAATTCTCATACTTGTTAAATACAGGCTAAATGGAGGTGATTCACTGAAGTTGAACGTCTACTTATAAATAGTGATCATAGTTATATAATATACCTTTGTGGTCTAGGGTAATTTTACATTGGTTTACAGGAGAACCAGACACCATCCAGAATTTCACGTGACAACCCAAACAGTACAGCTCAATTCGGCTTCACAGGAGAATCAGAAACCATATAGGCTTTAACGCTACAATCTGAATAGTACAGCTCAATCCTATGATGCAACCACAGAGATACCAAACATCCTGATGGACCATTCGCACCATTCGTATACACACATTCACATTACATGTATAGTTATTCTGATTAATGATCGTGTAATCAGTTGTATAATATCAAATCATTAAGAATCAATTTGATGAAAGGATAAATTCACAAAATAATATACACAAACACTAACTTTTGCTTAATGCTTTCATATTTTCTCTTTTATATCAAACTATAATCAACCAGTTGATTCCTATTTACTTTTATTCTATATTTACTTATTATGTTATGCATATATAAATGAGTCTGATTAATAGAGAGTGTGTGTGTGTGTATGTGTGAGTGAGTGAGTGAGTGAGTGAGTGAGTGAGAATGAGATCAAAACCCTTGCTATTGTTAATACAATTACTATGATCACTAATATAATTATTGAGAATTGAATGAAAGTAATCATAATCTAAATAAATACATTAATGAAAGTTTAATCATTTCTATTATGATATGAAACAGTGAAAGAGAGAAAGAATGAGAGAACGAGAGAGATAGAGAGAGAGAGCTAGTTATGTTTTGTTTCTTTATTAATGATCTAATATAATACATTATTTATTCCATATACAATTCAATATATAAATATACCAATCTATGATTGAATCTGCCGCGTTTATTTCATTTCAATTGAATTCCAATTCGTTTACATTGTTTGTCTATTATGACTTGTTATATAGTACAGATGTGAATTAAGTCATCATAATCAAATTGTATACACTGAATGAATAATGAGAATAAATATCCCAAAGAGAGAAAAAAAAGCAAACTAATCATAATGTACAATACAATAATGATTGATATACACACAATTCATTGAATGAAATCATGATTATTCATTTGAAACAATGATATGCTAATGGATGGTCTATACTCCTCCACGAGGAGTAGTAACAAGCGTAATTAAGTATCTAGAATATGATCAAAGGGATTAATATATTCGGTTAATATACTATTTGTATCACTCAGTTGACATGCATATAATAATGTCTAATACACATATACAAACTAATAACTATAATAAAGCATTATATAATTTCAACAATTGAAATCATGAGTTAATTGAAGCTAGACAACCATAGAAAACGTGGAAGCACTGGGTGGCCGCTTCGTCCTATCATGGGACTCCTCAGCAGTGCGCATCCACGACCCCCAGGATTTATCAGTCTCTCACCAGGCGCTTAAACAACCAAACCACTGAATCGGCTGGCATACAACGGTGTTCATGTCTAACTTCAACTAATCCACGAAATCGGGCGACACATCCATTATATAATTATCAATAAATCACTATAATCCTAGGCACAAAATCCTTCTTAATTGTTCTCATGTTATATGTTTTTTAAAATTATTATTTTCAATCATTATAGTATGAGAATAAAATGGTATTGTATGTTGTTACATGTTAAATTTCAATGGTTAAGATCATGAGTACTACTGAGGAGTCCCACAATAGGACGAAACGGCCGTTCAGTGCTTCTAGGTTTTCCATGGTGGTTTAGCTTCAACTGACTCATGAAAAAAACTTACCTATCGAACTTACTATAATATCCACAACATCCATTTGACATGTTAAATTGTTGATATCAGTGAATTTTATTATATTATTGTTATACCTTTTCAATTTTTTCTCGAAATCCCCGTCGTCCATTGTTATATCTTGTTGTTTCAATGGTGAATTGTCTTTTCTCTTATAATACTCACTTGTTATATCTGGTTGTCGTTGATTGTTATGGCGGAAACACTTATCATTTATACTTGAAACAAGGGATCTTTGCAATTACCACAACGCGAAAGTAAGAACACAAAGACTGGTATAAGTGATGATTTATTAACCCCAAAACACGATGACGACAACTCTAGTAGAAAATACACTCATTTATATTATTGATTGTACATCCATTTTGTTTAATAATTAGAATATAATCACATATATGAAAAATACTTAGAGTTATAACAAATCATATACTGAGTATAGTTCATGTCAATGGAATACAAGAATATCGAAGCACTGGACGGGCCGGGATTGTGGATGCGGACCGCCGAGGAGTCCCATACTAGGACGAAACGGTCGTCAAACAGTGCTTCCAGGTTTTCTATGGTTGTTTAGCTTCAACTGACTTATGATCTTAACTAGTGAAATAATTGTTGTGTCACGTCAACATATATGGATTACTCACCACACAGAACTTGAATAATTTTAAACACAAATGAATTGAATGAAAATTCTGTCAAGTTTTTTTATTGTTAACATTTTCTGTTTATGAATACAAAAAACCTCACAATGTTCTAGTGAGAATTCATGACTGGCAGGGTTCAAATAATTTCCACTACATTTCAAGCTGACTGAAGTTGAAATTTTACCATGGGAAGCCAAATGATCGGTTCCAATAATTAAAAGCTCTCTTCGAGACCTGAATGCCTTAAATTCTATATGTGTTAGTGTTATTTACTAGGATGAATCGAATGTTACCTAGTTTTCAAAGATATCTCTGTGACGAATTCAACCTACACATTAGAATAATCTCCATAAAACATTTGTAATAATAAAAATATATTCACACCCTACATACTTGACCAAACCAGCTACTTGAATGAGAACAATATGAGTGAGTAGGAAGCAATAGAATTAAGAATATATGTGCAACCAATTCAAAAATATACATCTTTCTCTTTCGAAAAATAAAGTCACATTTTCAGCCAATAGCGTATTGTTCTTTCTATGGAAAATAAAGCTTAATTTTGAGTAATAACTTTCTGTTATCAGCATCTGTCACTTATCATTTGGTTTATGTTTGAATGTACTAGCGTGTCGCTGTTGGAATATAATGGTCAATATCACAGCCTAGACGAATGATCTTAGTTAGTACTACCTGATTGATCACATCCTCGATATCTCTTATTGGCAAAGTCTTTGAGTATGATACTGAGTGACTCTGGCTCGGATCTTACAGGAGGTCAGTTTCCTGAAGACCGCTTTTTATGTATGTTAACCAACATGGAACCTGAATAATATAGGGTTTTTTTACTGATGGTCCATAGGTTTCTGTTTATTACATTCCACCTTTATCTTTGAATTTATGGTAACTTGACAAGATCATATTTAACTCAATTTTATGAACTGGATTGATTTTTCTCAAAGACAGTATGATTTTATAGTTCTATCATGATTTCTTTATGATTCACTGATAATACCAGAGAATAAACTGTTTAATTATATGAATGAATCTGTTTGGTAAACTAACGGAAGTTCGTTCCGTAACACATCGTCAAGGTGACAATAATCATAAAAAGAATTTTTCTCATTACTACACTTCTCAATTGTTGATTTCTTCGTTTATTTTACAAATATTTTCTTTTTAGATCTGTGATTTTGGTTTAGCTCGTATAGCTGATCCAGAATCAGAACAATCGGGTACATTAACAGAGTATGTGGCTACACGTTGGTATCGTGCACCAGAAATAATGCTTACATCAAAATTATATACTAAAGCAATTGATATTTGGTCAATTGGTTGTATTATGGCTGAAATGCTTAGTAATCGTGTTCTATTCCCTGGAAAACATTGTATCCTTTTTATTTTCTTTTTTTAATTACATATATTACATAATATGTATTTCTTTATTTTGTATTAGTTTGCTCAATGGATAATCTATTAAGGCACTAAATCAAAACAAAGGGTACTAGGTTTAGGTCTCAATATGAATAAAAACTACACAAGGATGTCATATACACATCCAAATGAAGAATCTTAAATACGATAAAATGTTCATCTTGGATATTTTTGTTATTCACTATTCAAATTTATCAATATGTTACTTTGTCTGATCACTTTACGGGTCTTTCATTATTGATATTAATACGTAAAAAAATAGTCTACCATGGTGCTTCGTATCTGTGTGGTTGCGCCATGGGCTTGAACTGTACTATTCAGATTGTAGCGTTAAAGCCTATATGATGTCCGGTTCTCCTGTGAAGCGAGATTGAGCTTTACTGCTCGGTTTATAAAATTTAAGCCTATACGGTGTCTGACTCTCCTATTAAACGGGATTGAGCTGTACTGTTTAGGTTGTCACGTTAAATTCTGGATGGTGTCTCGATCTCCTGAAAACCAATGTAAAATTACCCTAGCCCACAAGCGTATATTATATAACGATGAACATAAACAAAACAACCCCCGGTTATTAGATATAAATTAAACATTAAAATACCTAGTTAGATACTATATTTTCTTTTGAGAACTCTTCATAATTATTTGGAAAACTCAACAGAAACCATAGAAATATTCTGAATATACTTCAGCCACTTAATGTTCTTTAAAAAAAGCAACTTCTAGACAGTTTTAAGGAAACGATGAATCGGAAAATAATTTAGTCTGTCTGGAGTCCCTCCGGGGGCTACTGCCGGTCCCAAGCCCAGATAAAGGAGGAGGGTTGAGCATAGGGTTAGCGACCCCATCCCGTAGAAAACTAACTCGCTATTAAACGCTAATCAATTTTAGAATCTTGTTCTGAAACTTCTGATCCTATATAGTCTTTAAAATGCCATTATTTTCTGTAGATAAACTCAATCTTTAAAATAAAACTTTCTGTACTTACAACTTTATATTGTTTTTTTTCTGTTCAGAGTTCAAGAGTAGGAAGATTTTCGAGGATTGAAAAGTCAGTGTTTAAGCGTTTAAGTCTGTGCTGATAATGTCGTTCAGAAGAACAATGAAAGTACCACAACTAAAACCATCCAGTTCAGAAAATAATACTCCACCGAATTCATAACAGTCTAGAACTCGTAACATTCATGTTTATCGATAAGTTTATGTAGTTTAAAAAGGAGTGGTCACGATCAAACCATTCAGCTTAGAGAACAAAACTCCATCAGAAATGACCATTCTCTATTATGTCATCAATTGCATTTTTCACATAATGATCTCCCCCCTTCCAGCCAAACAAGTTGGTAAAACCTAGTAGACCTTTCTGGAAAGAAAACAGGCCACATTAAAGCACGGCACAACTACCGAGGCCAGAATAGCTGTTTTTGCAATCCGTTAGAGTTTGCTCTTTGACAAGCAACTCCGTATGTTACATGCACCACTTTTGTAAATTTTTTGTCGTTTTCCAACCTAAATGTTATTGTGCTGTGTTTCTCTGTGGGTTTCGTAATCAGAGTGTAGGTATTGGTATGAGTGGGTGATTAGCTTGATCTCCACTACCCGGGTTACCGCTCACATTCGTTCATGAGTCTTTCGTCCCACTATCCAGGAGGCACGACGCGGACCGTGTGAGTCGGATTTTACCTCCCACATAATGATCTATTTATCTTTAATTTATTTTCTTTACATACTTCCACTATTATTTCTTAAAATTATAACATTAATAACAGATATTGATCAATTAAACTTGATATTACAAGTTTTAGGTTCACCATCAAAAGAAGACTTTGAAACAATTGTAAATCTTAAAGTGAGTTTTATTTATTTGCTTTACGTTTTATAAAAGTTTTTAAGCTATATGGCTATGTAGAACTGAAGGTTTCATATGAGACTGGAGGTTCGCCATTGATATTGTGGATGGTTCGGCATTACTTTGGCAAGTTTTGTTAACTGCTGGTTAACCGATTTCATTCATACTGGTGGTTGCTTTTCAGTGTTCTCAAGGGCCATTGTCATTGCGACATTGTAAAGTATATCACCATTGCTAACATTAATGAGTTTGACTTGCGTGTAAGCAGAATAAGTCCATTTTGGCCTGTTCATGGTGTGCATAATTGATTCACGTGATCGTTGATCGGAATAGCTATACACGTGACGTGAATGTGCATGTAAATGGTGCGAATGGTCCATCAGGGTGCTTGGTACCTGTATGGTTGCGCCACAGAATTGAGCTGTACTATACAGATTGTAGCATTAAAGCCTATATAGTTTCTGGTTCTCCTGTGAAGCCGAATTGAGCTGTACTGTTTGGGTTGTCACGTGAAATTCTGGATGGTGTCTGGTTCTCCTGAAAACCAATGTAAAATTACCCTAGCTCACAAGGGTATTTTATGCAACTATGAAAGTTTTTAGCATACTAATACCAATGTTGTAGATAACCATGATCATTGAATTAACAATTTAGTCTCTACGATGTATAAATTTCCAACATGATACGCTGATGACAATTTCATGCTAATGTTATAATCTAAGATTATCCAAATGGGGCAGTGCTACGTCGATCACTGTCATGTCGGATTGACGTAATCTGTCTCATTTGCTAAGTTTACCGTTCAGAATATTTTCTACCCTGTTTCTGCTATTCCGTTTAAAGCCTAGAGACCCTAATCTTGATACATGTTACGCGCTGACTGATGCAATTAACCTTGAGCTTTTCTCTTATTGATCCGCTAATACTCACGTCTTCTTATATCTCCAGCTTTGAGTTTATAGAAAAGATAGTAGACCGGCTACCACTACACTTTTACTATATTTCAGCTAGCCAGCCTAACAGCTATCTGAAGCACTTATTTGCTTATATCCATAACATACTGAATAACGTCACACCACAAGTGTTTGGGAGATGAGCATAACTATAAACTATTGACTGGCAATAATTTAGGAATACTAAAACATATAGCGATTGTTGATGGGTCAAATGGAAGCTTACGATAAACAGAGTAAAGCAACATAGTAGTCTAGTTAACTAGTAATTATCCAATAAAGATATAAATGATAGTAACTATAATAATAGTGCCGAAATTTCCAACTTCTCCAATACTTATTCTCTTATCATAAGTAATATGTTGAATCTCTATCATTGAATTCCAATGTTAATCCATTGTCGTAAACATTTAAATCATACTGAAAATTCTCGTTAGTAGTATTGTAGCATTAAGTAACATTAAATTAATTTATTGTTCTACATTTCATGTATTTATACTAGGACCAAACAGCCATCCAGTGCTTCCAAGCTTTCCATGGATGGTCTAGCTTCAGTTGACTCATGAATCCACCTATTTATTTATTTTTTTGATTGCAATCATGAGCCGATTGATGTTAGACCACCATTGAAAACCTGGAAGCACTGGACGGCCGTTTCTTTCTATCGTGGGACTCCTCAGTATTGCGCATCCATGATCCCGCTCGCGGGATTCGAACCCAGGGCCATCAGTCTCACGCATGAACACTTAACCTATTGGATCACTGAGCCGGCAACCAATGGTGTTAATGTCTAACCTCAACCAATTCACGAAATCGTGCGACCATCTTCCACTGTACTGAGGTATACACTTGTTTCTATCCGACACGGATTAGCTCCACTAGTCAAGGCTTCTCACCAGAACTCCGATAATTTTCTCACGAAGCTAGTCACTACTGAGCACATGGTAATTATCAGTATAGGGGTTGTGGAGATTTTTAATTTTATATTGAGATCATGAACCGATTGATGTTAGACCACCGCCGGCTCAGTGGTCCAGTAGGTTAAGCGTTCGCGAGCGAGATTGAAGGCCCTGGGTTCGAATCCCGCGAGCGGGATCGTGGATGCGCACTGCTGAGGAGTCCCACAATAGAACGAAACGACCATTCAGTGCTTTCAGGTTTCAAATGGTGGTCTAACATCAATCGGTTCATGATCTCAGTCAAAAACTTAATAATATCCGCAACCCCTATACTGATATTTATTATTTGTTAACTACTGATGAATTATTTTGTGGTGAAACACTATTCAAAAGCAACTCACCTATACAATAGTTAAAGATGAGCTTACACTAGTGCCTAATTTCAAGATGAATTCTTGGATTCGTACTGAGAAATAATGATTTGTGGTATTAAACCATGGCACGAATAAGATCACATTTAATGGTCATTCTAATGTATGTAGTTATTTAACTGAAATTTGAATTGTAAACACTTAGTTTACAAATTACTTAGTCCAAAATCAATTTGATCTCTTTAAAAAATTGAGGGTTGGCTTCATGTCTAATCATTTGTGTATTCATAGATGCACACTGCTGAATAGTTCCAAACTGTAATCGGTGAAACTATAATTAATGATGACCTTTGAGCGACGGCAAAATGACCTTGAAAAAAATTCACCTATTTTCTACGGTCAAAAGAATTATATATATTAATATGAGGAATTAGCAGTTTCTTGTGATATTAACCATTACAGATTATCTTGATATTGATTAAAAAAGAATAAGGGGTAATGTGGTAAGATAAACACACGATTAACAGTCTATATATATAAACGTTTTTCTATTGACTGCACTAAACAACCATGTAACACGCAGATAAATATGTTAAGATACTTACATCTGATACCCCCGTGAAGCACATTACTCTGGCCAGGAATCTCCTCCCAAATCTATCTTTGGTTCTTCACAGTCTGATTTTTGCTTCTGATCCCAAACAATCAATTCTTTGGTCTTCCTCTTTTCTTTTTCCTTTCATGATTCTAAGTTAGCGCTTACTTCGTGCTGTCGTCTGATGATTGCCTCAATGTATGTCTTACACAATTCCAGATTCTTTCCCTAGTTTCCTATTCCGCTGCAAGCTGGTTTGTTTCCTCTCACAATAAACTGTTTTTGATGGTGTCCGTTCAACGGATATTGAGTATCTTGCGTAGATAGCTGGTTATAAACACTTGTACTTTTTTGACGATCGTTGCAGTAGTTTTCCACGTATAACCTCCGTGCAGTAAGACTATCGGTTGTGTTGCTAATTGGTCGATCGGTACGTGTTCGATTTCAACGAAAATCAGTATGTTGATGTGGTAGTTGTGCATCTAGTGAATCTTTGATTCTGTTCAATAACAGTTGTTCTCCATATCGCCTTCCTCCTTTTCTAATAAATCATCTGAGGCTTGTAACTTATTGCTGAGAGCAATCTCGAAGTCATTGAGTTTGTGAACATCTCGAAGGACGTTTGTGTGCAAATGTTGTAAGACTGACTGTTGAGTTATACAATGCTAGTTGAGCTTGTGTTTCAGCTGTACCACCACCAAATGGTAATCGTAGAGTGGGTGACCTCCTCTCTGTGTTTTGTGCTTACACGTTCCATGGACCTCGTAAATTTTCCGTTGTTAATTTGGTGTTTTGTGGTGTGATCTGGTGAATACAACGTAGCTTTGTGTATGTGTTTGTGATGGAGAATGATGTCACCTATAACCATTTTGTTGAAAGTATATATATATATATATATATATATATATATATATATATATATATATATATATATATATATATATATATATATATATGCTGATCTGTCACCACAGTCGTTTATTTTTCCTATTACATGTTGCCCGATTACGCTTATATATCCGTTGTTGTCGATCCCGATAATGATATTGAGGTGGTCCATCGGGATGACGAAGTGTTTTGTGTGTGAGTTCTGTCGTAGAAATTTCTACCTCTCATTGAACTGATGTTTGTCGTCACGTTCACTGCCATCATGAATGGATTGATAGAGATGGATGACATTGATTGTGATCTTTTCCTTCTTTATTTCAAATGACCCTGGATCCATGAGATCTTTATTTTATAAGTACATTACGCACTTCTTAGGATAGGATAAGCGTAAATATTTATGTGTGTCATGTATTTTCTACCTCATGATAAAATACAACTACACCTCTCGCAATGCTCTCCGACTTGCATCCAGTGGGCGACCTTTTGTTTCCACAGTAATTTGAATGGTCCTCTTGGTCTCTCAGATTTTCCAGACATTCTATGTACCTGCATTACTTGTTGCTCTGATTGTCAAAACTGGTACTGACATCGTGATTTTCGAAGATTCTCGTCTTTCTCTTCGAAACCCCATAACTTTTCTAAATGAAGACCCTTTAACTCCAACCGTTGAGTTTAAACCTAAGTTAGATATCGATTGAAAATTCAGGAGTACTGGACAGTTGTACTGTCCAAGTGTGGGACTACCTAACACTACTCATGCACAGCTCCACTGTCAGAGATAGCACCCAATACCTTCAGTGTCACTTGGATATTCTTAAACTCTAGACCACTGAGTCAGGATCCGTTGATATAAAGTGTAAATTCAAATAGTCCCCTATTATTGGGCGGTCATCTTTTAATTTGCACCTTCTGCACACCCGACCATTGTTTAACTTTACTGCTCATGGTTTCTCACTAAAAATCAAATAACTTCCTCTCCAAGCTAATCACTAGTTAACATATGATAATTTTCAGTATGGGGTTGCGGAGTTTGTTAAATGTTATTGAACTTAGATTATGCTTAACGCTTGAATAGTTTGATGTTTTATAAATAAATATGATTGACGAAATTCCTCTGATATTTTATTGTATTACAAAGTTGTTAGTATATAAAATTTATCTCATATCGAACTCAATTTCAGCAACCAGATATTATCATTAGCATTCTTATAATGAATGTATTCTGGGATGAAATAGACTACATAAACTACAGCTAACCATCAAATCAGTCAGTCAGTCAGCTACAACGTAGGACCAGACACATATATACATCGGTCCAAGTTGCCACACCTCATTATCACAACAAGATGAACACCGGATTCATAAAAGTAGCTAATTCAGAGGTGGTAATATATAAAAGAAAGATTGTATATAAGTATATAATACAGGAAAAAAGAATTAGTTGGTAGAAAGAAAGATATGAAGCGATTTTAATCTCTTAGTTTAAGGGAAGACAGAGAGTGTATACACCTACCCCATTGTGATCGATTCTGAGCCATGTCTCCAAAAGTTTCCAACTATTGGTTACGATATTCATACGGACCCCAACCAAGTAGTCTGCATCTACCATCATGGCTCAAATCAGTTGATTTTATTCAATTACTACTATCGAAAAATTTTTGTAATCGTATTAAGAAAGAAATATTTACCATTCGCTTTATGTTACTTTAGGCTCGTGCCTATTTAGAATCATTGCCACATCGTACAAAAGTACCATGGAAACAATTATATCCATACGCTAGTGAATCAGGTAAGAAATTTTTTGTGAATTTCAGCTTTTAGTTGTTATTAATTTGTTTCTGATCATTTTAGATGTTTCATGATGATGAGTTAAATTTGAAGGTTGGTTACTGAAGACAAACTTTTAGCAATTGAGTCAGTCTACAGTAACCTGTATTTCAAAAGTTGTTCAATATTATACGACTAATAATTTGTCATTATTATTATTTCATTGACATAAAACACAAGAAATTGATCTGTGAAAAACATTTTTGATCAGAATGCCGTTTGTGATGATTGTGGTAATTTTGTTAGTTGAATGTATGGGTCGATCTAGTTCTCACTAGTGACTGGCTTCAAGTTGATTTCCTGAAGTTCTATTTAGAAGTCGTGACCAGTGGAGTCCAATCCGTGTCGAGAAGAGACAGGTATCTACCTCAGACAATAGATGAATGGTTGTTGAGCCAATCATGGATCGATGAAAGTTAAGCATTAACACCGTTGGATGCTAGCTCAGTGGTCTAGAGATTAGGCGTTTGCACAGGAGGCTGAAGGTTCTTGGTTCGGATCCTGAGTGCGGGATTGTGGACGCGCACTGTCGAGGAGTCCCATACAAGGACGGAAGGGCAGTCCAATAGTTCTAGGTTTCCAATAGTGGTCTAACTTACATCGATTCATGAATTCAACTATTAAAAAGAAATATTTTTAGCTGAAACTTAACTAGAATGTATTTAATAAAGAAGAAATCGTGACTCGGTCAGTATAAAAACGATGAATCTGAAACTAGACTTTAAAGGGGACATAGCGGGTGACATTGTAACACGTCGACTCAAAAGATCTGTCGAAAAGACGTTTTATACAGCCAAGTTAGACGTACTTCTCTTGACTAAACCAGTACTTACATAACAAATCAAGGATGGGTTACTGATGATGGGCTCCTTCATGTAAAACTTTGTCTTGTCAATAAAGATTTTATACCGAAATACGTAATTATCATCTGAAATTCTCTGATTCCTTTCGAATACATTTAATTTAGACTGTGATTTATATTTTTATCTTAAAATGCTATTTCGGCTCTAGTTCCAACTGAATTCTTTTGATCATGTTGCAATGTAACTACCAGTTTAAGTCACTAAACACCAGTATGCCTACCTCCATCCCATTGATAAACCAGTCGTAACTCAAAGACATAAAAAATAAAGTTTCTAGCTGTGCCATCGAAAGACAGAGATGTACATCCTACATGGAGGTGTGATTAGTTCTCTCAAATAATTGCATTTATGAATTGTTGCTATAGTCTTAGGTTGAGCAGGGGTTTTTTGTTGATTATCTCAACACATCTAACACTGAAATAGTTTCACTGAATAATAACTTTCATCAGGCAGAAATATAGAATATGCATGAACGTTTTTCCACTGACAACATTCAATCATTCAATATGCTATGATGTTACTGTTGATCATTTCTTTTCAACAATCATTATTATAGCGCTGGATTTATTGGACAAATTACTATGCTTTGTTCCATCACGACGTATAACAGTTGAAGATGCCTTAGCTCATCCATATTTAGAACAGTACTATGATCCAACAGATGAAGTAAGTTCTTATATATTAATAATGCATCAAATATTCTGAATGTTGTGTCGAGTGATTGTTTATAATGATTAATTACTAACTTAATTACACCTGTTACTCTTCGAGGAGGAGCATAGGCGGCCCACCAGCACTCTCCATTCAAGCCTTTCCTGGGAAATCCTTTCCAGCTCCTTCCAGTTGTTATTCATCCTTTTCATATCTGCTTCTATTTCCAGATGTAATGTGTTCTTTGTCCTTTATCTTTTTCACTTCCCTTCAGCATTCCAAGTTAGGGCTTGTCTCGTGATGCAGATTGATGATTTTCGTAATGTATGTCCTATCCACTTCCAACGTCTTTTTATAATTTCCTCTTCAACTGAAAATTTGTTTGTTCTCTTCCATATTAGGCTGTTACTGATGTTATCTGGTCAATGAACGTTGAGTATCTTACGTAGACAATTGTTTATGAATACTTGTACTATTTTTGATGATGGTTGTAGTAGTTCTCCAAGTTTCAGCTCCGTATAGTAGAACTATCTTGACGTTCGTATTGAAGATTCTCACTTTGATATTGGTTGAAAGTTGTTTTGAGTTGCATATTTTCTTCAATTGCTTTGCCCATCCTCGCCTTTACGTCTGCGTCTGATTACTTCATATTGAATGGCAGGAGATGATTAACAGGATATTCTTCTCTCACATTTCATACCAGCGGGGATTTATCTTCAGAAAAGCATATCCAAAGTCTAGAGCGAACTAACAGTTTCAACCGGGTACAAACTATAGTTACTTTGTACCACCAAGGATTAGTCTATGTGTGACACTGATCTTTCAAATTGCATTTTCATGGATCAGTCTCTGTTCATTGAGTTCTAGCAGTCACACGCGTATACCAACACACACACACATAGGGAATATTTCATCGAACTACCATAATACATCACGTACAACCAAGTGAAAAAAATTTAGTCAGTTTAAGTATTTAAAGACGTACAATTTGTATGTATGAATTATAAGGGGAAAAATAGAGGGCATATTTTTTCTAAAATATGTTTTTTCTTTCATTTTTATTATCGACCCATGAATATTGAATTGAAAATGTGTATACATTTAGTACCATGCTTTTTTCGTGAATTAGTTGAAGTTAAACATTAACACTGTTGGATGCTGACCGGCTTAGTGGTCCACGGTTCAAATCTCACGGGGCAGGATTAAGGATGAACACTGATGAAGAGTCCCATACTAGGACGAAACAGCCGTCTAGTACTTTCAAGTCTTCCATTTTAAAAAAACTGTTAAAAACGTTGAATGATGTAGATTAAAATCGATCTTAATACAATAGTTCCACTTATTCTACGACTTCATATAAATTTTGAGCTAAATATTATCAATATATGCTGTTTTTCTTATTGTTTCATCGTATTTATTCATATTCTGTTTATCATCAGAATTTGACTATTCTAGTGATCTATTTATAACAATTTCTCAATCAAAATCTTTAAGATACTTAACACTGGATTTCTATGAAACTATTTTGGTGAAGTTTTGTTCTATGAAATGGATGGTTTGATCGTGTTCGTTCAGAAGAACGATGAAAGCTCCATGACCAAACCATCCAGCTCAGAGAACAAAACTCTACCAAAATCATCCACCTGAGCTACAAATCTTCTCCACCATATGGAACTATTTGTTAAAATCTTGAAGGATCTTTATGTAATTTGTAAATAGTTTATTCAATCAAGCCGAAAGTCATCTGATCTTACCTTGCTAACAACTAGTAATCTAAAATATCAACTAATCAAATGTGTGTTGATAATGCGTTCAATATATAAATCAGATTGAAGAAACTGAGATAAGGTCAAACTATAATTTATGGACGATCTTTCAGAGACGCTAGACTGACTAAGCTTGAGAGTCATCACTTAGTAACTAGGAACAAATGAGGATTATAAACCAGTGTGAGGAATTGGAATTATGATAGTTAAGGGTTAGAATTAGATTTCGGGGTTTTCATCATGAACAGACATCATCTATAATGTCAAAACTCTATTTATCCAAATGGATGAGTGAATTTTGAGCCAAAATCAGAGACCTGTTATCTTATATGCGATTGGTTCGTCCATAAATTATAATCTTACTTGAGATAAATTTAAATTTGTACTTATGTTGAAATTTTCCATGACAATAAAGCGTTCATCATTCAAAATAAATCAATGTAGTTATAAGCTGCAAGTATTTCTGACCATTTTAACAAATTATATTGGTTAATAATGAAATGGACTCGTTCAGAGGTTTCTAATTAATATTAGTATAGGGAGTTCGTTTACATTATTAATCGACTTAAACTAAACGACTACTTACCTACTTACTTACTTACGCCTGTTACTCGTCGTGAAGAAACATAGGCCGCTCACCAGCATTCTCCATCCAACCCATTCCTGGGCAATCCTTTCCAGCTAAACGACTACTGGAAATCAAGAAATAATGAACAGATACTTTGTCTTATTATGATACTCTTTAACAAAGTTCATCCATGTCACGGTCAGTGGTCGAATCCTGAAGCTTCAGATCACTTAATTGATATTCAATGCTTTACATTCATAATTTCAGTTCATTCTCATCACTACATAAGCATCTTTATAATTTCTACAATAGGTTAAACTTTATCAATCACATATTCTCATTAAAACTTTTAGAGTACTTCTCTAATAAGAATAAAATTATTATTCATATGTAGTTTATAATCTACTAAATATAAATCACAGTGTTCAATTACATTAGATCCAACTTACAACCGGACAACCGACCTATATACTGATATCTATTAAGATTTGATCAATGTTAACTTAAATAGAACAAGTTTTTTAAGCAAAGGTGGATAGTGACTAGCAGTGGAATCCAGAATGAACGTTTCGTCCTGTTACAAGTAAAAAAACATCAAGTGAGTTTGAAATTCACCCCCATTGCACAAACAGGTGGCTATCAGGACTCAGTAACTAACTAAATAACGCGATGGCGTTTGAAGCAAACGGTACTGGATTCAAGTCCCAGAGTGATTATCAACTCTGGAATGCAGGTACATCCAACTGACGAGTCCAAAATAAGATGAAACGCGCATCCTGAATTCCCCTGCTAGCCACTATCCATTTTTGCTTAAAAAGCTTGTGATTTAAAGCTATATAGAGGAAATCCTCACAGAATGCACATATTTCAACATGAGACTGATCAATTGCAGTCCTAAACATCAATAGGAAGATTCAAGTAAAACAAGTAAATTTCAATAAACCAAGTTAAACATCTTTTACAAATGTTCTTTTTTTTCTTGGTTTTCCAAAATATAAAATAGTAATTTTTACAAGGGTACTTAATACTAAACAAAAACAGGAAACATTGTTGTCCTTTAAGAAAAAATCATCCAATTCTAAAGACCAATAAACAATCTATCATTTGAAGTACGTACATCATGTAAAAAACAAACGATAACGACAATGACAATAATAATAATAATAAGAGGAAGAACAAGAACAAGAAAAGCAATTATATTCAGACAACTGGTAATTCAAATCAAGGCACTAGACGATAATTTAAAGTATGCATATATATATATATATATATATATATATATATATATATATATATATATATATATATATATATATATATATACATTAAGGTATGTATATGTCAGAAATGGTTTTGTGGATATTATAGTCAATTGAAGCTAGACCACCATGGAAAACCTGGAAGCACTGTTCGACGGCCGTTTCGTCCTAGTATGGGACTCCCCAGCAGTGCGCATTCACGATCCCACCTCCCGCGAGATTCGAACCCAGAACCTATCGGTCTCGAACGCGAGCGTTTAACCACTACACCGCTGAGTCGGCATCCATCGGTGTCAACGTCTAACTTCCACTAATCCGCTGAGTTAATATCTCTCAATAGACCTGATTGAGCTCCACTGTACACTGCTTCTCACTAGAACTTTAGGGAATATCTCTTAGAGACCGTTACTAGTATGTATATGTGTACTGGATAAATTAAACACTTTGATAGAGTTTTGTTCTCTGAGCTGAATGGTCTTTTGGTTGTGAAGATTTCATCATTCTTCTGAATGATATCATCATCAGTACAAACTTCATGTAGAAGTAAATTAAACATTAGATAGTACAATTAACTAAACTAATCTATTAAGATTTTGAACCGATCAATGTTAGACCACCATTTAAAACCTGGAAGCATTGAACGGCCGTTTCGTTCCATTGTAGGACTCCTCGGCAGTGCTCATCCTTGACCTCACTCGCGGGATTCAAACCCAGGGCCCTCAGTCTCTCACGCGAACGCTTAACCTACTGGGCCACTGAGTTGATATCCGATGGTGTTAATGTCTAACCTCAACCAATCCACGAAATTGCGCGATCATGTCCCTTTGTACTGAGATAGATATCTGTCTCTACCCGACACGGAGTAGCTCCACTCATCACGGCTGGTCACAGTTTAAAGGTAAAATAATGGGCTTACTTCAAATTCTGAATAGTTGGAAAGTTCAACTTTTTATTGCTCTTAAATATATATATATATATATATATATATATATATATATATATATATATATATATATATATATATATATATATATATATATATATTACTGAAGTGTTCCATAAACAGGAAATATAGGTTAACTCAAGATTTCTTATCGATTGAATCCGACCACTTAATATTGAAAGACTAATGTGAGACTATACATTTAAATCTTATCGATTAAATTCATTGAATACTAATTGTAAACGATCTATTTGTTATTGGTTATTATTTTGGTAATCAGTTAACTCAGTAGAAAGAGAGATCAGTATAAAACCAAAAACGTCAACACTTTTTGCCAATCCTCTCTAATCAGATTGAAGATTTGTGGATATTGTAGTAATTTTAACTGTTGTATTCATAAGTCGATCTAAACTAGACCATCATTGGAAACCTTGAAGCACTAGACGGTCGTCTAGTCTTAACATAGGACTGCTCAACAA